GTCCAACCCCACCCCCCATCCCAGTTCAGGTTTGACCCCACTCCTCCCGGTGCAGGTCTGTCCCCTCCCCCTCCTGGTTAGGGTCTGACCCTGGCCCCCCCCTCCTCGGTTTGGGTCTGACCCTGCCCCCTCCTCCCCCCCTTCAGGTTCAGCCCCACTACAATGGAAGGGCTCCTGCTTTTCCTCAGCTAGCCCCGCCGCTTTTTAAGTCCTCTACCCAATTTTTTTTTTTTGCCTCTGTGGAGGGGGGGCAGAGGGAGCCGCCACACTAGAGGCTGCAGGAGGAGGCAGGGCCGGCAGAGGGGCTCCCATTTTAACTCGGCTAGTCCCACCCCTGGCCACCCAGCCCACGCAGCAATTTGGTGCATGCGCAGTTGTGTAAAAGCGTTAGGGACAGACAGACACACAGACAGACAGACTAAGCCTTTTATTATGTTAAAATTTTAAGGTAATCCTTGTAATATTCAGTGATTTATTTCTCTTGTGAAAGGTACCCAGCACACAGAGAAGTGATGCTAGCTATGCTGATGCATTCCACATCAAAAGAAGTGTTTCAGGCAGCTGCTAATACATTGGCAACTTTATCCAAGCAAAATGGTAAGGGGCTATGTTCACCTTCACTTTGAGCCTTCAGTAGTGCATTATAACTAATATTTTGGGGTATTAGGAGTGTACTGTCATGTAATATTGTCATCTCTTTGGGTTGGGGAATACTTTTCTCTGTTTTTGAAATTATACAATTGTATATAGTAGCAAATGTATTTCTTACTCTGTTTAATCTGTTTTTAGCTACTGTTGATGGGAGAGTTTTTTGGAATGATGAACCATTAGTTTATTTTAGCCAGCAAATACCAATTTTTAGAGAGTGAGGTGGACAGAGAAGAAAAGGTATCTTTCCATGTTTAATTTCCTCAGTCCCTGACCAAGTTTCAGTTTCATCAAGACTGAAGTCATCTGAGCTATGATTATGGCTTTAATACTGCAGCCACTTACATGCTTGCTTAACTTTCAGATGTGATCAGGCCTCTTGACCCCAGCGGATCTACTCATATACTGAAAGTTAGAAATGCATGTGAGTTTTCAGAATCATAGCTATAGTTTAGATCAGGGTAGTCCATCTTCCAAATACCTGAGGGCCATATGCCCCACAGGCCTTGCCAGTGGGGATCGCTGCTCCCCTTCTCTCTCTCCTGCCCCCACACCATGCATGTGGGTTTCCTGGCCCTACCTTCAGCTTCCCAGCCACAGAAAGCTAAAGAAACTGAGTGATAAGCTCTGAACTCTATAATGTATAGGAAGAGCACACACCAACTGCAGATGCTTCCTCAGCCTGACGAAGGGTATTTGTAAGTGAACGCTTGCAAAGAAGAATTTTTCCAATTATTTTAGTTGGTCTAATAAAAGATATCAGATTTACCCAAAGAACCTTGTCTGCCTATGTCCTTAGACCAACATGGTTACAACCTATACCCCTGAACTCCATAATAATAACTTGACATACATAGAAATAGGGAACATGTTTGCACTTATTAGGTACTTAAGCAATTATAAAATGTATAATTGTGCAAACACAAGTCTACTTCAGTCCCAAGTCCCAGTCTAGTATGTGATTGTGTATATGGAAGATATTTGAAAATAGAGCATTGTTTCTGCAGAACCTTGCACAGCTATTGAACTTTTTTCCAGAAATATGAGTTGTCTTATTGAAAATTAACCAAAATAAGACATGCATCAAATATTTTCAGGATCTCAACCTAAATTATTATATACATGTTTGCTTATACACTATTTGTAATTTTGTTTTGCAGTTAGTATTAGGAAGGTTCTTTTGGCAAAAGGAATACACATGAATGTTTTGAACATAATGAAGAAACATTCGCACGCTCCTGAAGTTGCTGAGAGTGCCTGCAAAATGCTGAATCATGTTTTTGAAGGAAGGTAATATATTTTTATAGTCCTGTGATCTCTTCCAAGACTGAATAATGTGGAAATCCAGTATTATAATTGTTTTAAATGTATAAAAATTGACAGCTAGAGTAAAATTTACTCCAGGCCCAAGGTCTCGTCTGTGTCCAAGCCTCATGGTCAAATGTACAGATGAGTAGCTACAGAGACAACTCATGAGAGTATCTGAATCTCCTGAATAGCAAGATCAGAATGGACCTTCTGGCCTGCCCTTAAACTACAGTAAATTCCATTTATTGTTGGGTAAATATTGAAATCTTTTTCTACAAATAACCATTTCATTTGTTAAAATAACTTTGATTGTGTTTCTATTTTTTATATTTAATTTCTGTGAATATTCTAACACACAAATTTATTGTCCAGTATGTTGCCTAAAATGGAAAATATTAGCAGGAAACAAACATAAGACTCATAAACATAAGTATTCACATTAGGAACTTGATTCTAAGTTTGTATGTATAAGTTAAGGAACAACAATATTGTATGGGACTTTTGTACCAAGGTCTTCATGGATAAGAATGATTCAAAGAAATTTTGTGGCAAATAATTTGAAGTACCAAATAAAGGGGCCTGATCTGCCTCTGCAGGAGGGAGGGTTGGGGGTTAGCCCAACCCCCATCTGGCAGCATGGGAAGGAGCGTGGCCTGCCCCAGTCCTGCTGTGTCGGGGTAAGGGGCATGGCCTGGCCCTAATCAAGCCAACAGGGTTTGGGAATTTGGCAGTCTGGCAGGGGTGACAGTATTAATTGCCACTACTTCCTGTCCCCAATTTCCTGATGCCTATGGGCTGAATGCCATGACTTCATGGGCCAGATTTGGCCTGCAGGCCAGGGATTGAGCATCCCTGTTCTAAAGGAAGCATTGCTAGTGAAGAGTGAAAGATGAATAAATGAATTAATGAAGTGAATTGCAAGTTGTCAAGGAGAGCAGCCCTGATGTGTTTAACAGCTAATTTTGCCATATTTAAAATAACAAGAAATACTTTCAAACAAATAAAGAAAATGTCCTTGAAAGTTAATTAGAGGCTCTGCTACCGATTGCTAATACCAAGCTAGAATTTTTTTTGTCTTAAAATATAATGCAAATGTATTAGATTGTATTTGTAATCTGTCCATTCATTGACAACATATATAAATTATGAGGAAATGGAAGTTAATGAGAACATGTATCCTTTCATGTATCTTGACCAGAGTCTAAACTGGTACATGTGGAATGTACAGTTCAGTCCCCAAGAATAAAATAACCTACCACATGTATATTACTATCCTGAGCTACGTTAAAAATTTATTTCTGATTGTTCCGGGACAGAAATAGTTTCATGCTGCATTATAAAATAAGTTTAAAAGCATGAAAACAGTAGATGTGCTAAATGGAAGGAAACTCTAGAGGAAGTTTTTTACTGTGAGATTGAGATTTACAGCATACAAAACTCCTACCACTTAATGCTGTTTAACAGAATAAACAAGCATACAATTTAGAAAGACATTTTTATTAATTTTATAAATTATTATTTTTTCTCAGTTTCCTCCATCTGGATGTAATGACAGTTACTGCATCAGAAGTTGTAAAAGCTATGAGGAAACACGAAAAGTTGCCATCTGTTCAGCTGGAGGCATTTCGAGTCCTTTTACATTTTATGGTCACTGGTAAGTCATCAAAGGAAAACAGTTGACATAAGATTATTATACATCAAATGGGAGAGGGAAGAAGGCAATTTTTCATTGTTTCTTATTTCACTGTGCAACCTTCAGGTTGGACTTTTTCAGTGATTTTTATTTAGGTCTTAACACTGAAAGAACTTTTGTGACTGAAAGGTTAGGAACAGAGGAAAAGGTAGGAAAAAACTTGGAAGGCATTCACCATCTCAGGTCCTATTCATCACTGCTGAAACACTCCTGACTGTTCATCAACAATGATGAATTCAGGCCATTGCTGCTTACCGTACCATTACTGATGGACTCAAGAAGTATGGATTCATTGCCATCATTTTGTACCTTAACCATAAATGATAATAGGTAGTAATAATGAACTTTCTGTCAAAATGGGTTTACAAATATTGCTTTAGTACAGAGTCAAATAGAATATCATCACTAGCTTGTCTACTGACACCAAGAAGTTGGGGGAACAATTTCAAGTTTTGAACTATATCAGCTCTTGCCTCCAGCAAACAAACGGGCAAGCTGGATGATTAGGAAGTTCTTGTGAAGACATTTCTTAAAGGCAATCTGCCAACAGAAAATGTGTGTTCTCTTTTGTTCTTTGAGATCAGAAAAAGAAGGGTTGGACAAGGTTAGTAAAAGTTTTGAAAGTGTGTTTCCTGTTTGTCATCTTATTTTTAGTCTGTTTTTTCTGATTTTGCTGGTAATCTCTTTAGACTAGAGTAGCAGCTTTTTAATCTTAATGGAAGATAAATTCCAGACAGCTTTCTGCAAGTGTTTATATGTCATTTTAGTTAAATATCAACAAAAACATACTTTTAAACAGTTTGATTAAAATGCAGATTATTTGTATTAACTCAGATTTCGGTTTCTTTTCACTTGTGGTATAGTGTTCTTATTTCTCCATTCAATAAACATAATATTTAATATGTGAAGTATTTACATAGGAAGAGAAGCTAGAGAGAACTTGTTTTGCTAAAATGCTGGGAGTGTTTGTATAGCATACTGAAGTAATAACGGACACATTTTTTTCATTTGCATATAATCATAGTTGGAATTTGAAGCATAACATGAAGAAAAGGCCTTTTATAAGACACAATAATCAGTACAAACTTGAATACAGAAGGGTCCTTGAAACAATCTCAAAGTACTTTCTGTAGTGCTACTTGGTCATGAGTGCTGAAATCTCCGTAATATGTGTACTCTTTTATGTGTACTCGCCTTCTGCTGATGTTGTCTATGGGTATGATTTGGTTTCGAATGTGCTGCTAGCAAGAAAAGGATTTGTTTCTAGTCTTTTCCTTTCAAAAATATCCAAAAGAAGGAGGCATTTGGAATTAGGTAATAGGGCTACTGAAGAACATAGAGCTCAAATAAGTAATTTCTTGCAGTGTATCACAACCAAAATTCATTGCCATACTAATTAATTCACAGCAAGTGGCAACATGGTGAAACTGTGAGTGCTAACACTAGGTTCTTAGTCCAGTGTAAATGTGGAGTAACTCAAGTCAGTATTGTTAAATGGGTGTGAACACAAAAACAGAATTAAGCATTATGAGTTATTTGTAAATAACTGCAGAAGTTTAATTAAAATTGTTTTCCTGAAAAGCATTTTCCTTTGTGTTATAGGTACAGTGCAAGAACAGCCAAACACTCCATTCAGAGCTGTGGAAGGTACTGACCTGGATCTTACGTTAAAAGTAATTAAAAACCAGTGTTTGCTGGAAGGGACTCACACACTGGTGCTTGATGCTTTGAACAGGGTATGGTTAAAGTCTTCATCCTGTTTAAATTTGGTCTGTGCATTGTAGTTGCAGGTGTTGTTTATTGCTTTGAGTACAGTAAAGTGATTTTCTTACTGATTTCATAAACAAGATGAAATAAATTAACTCTCATCTCTGTGTCCAGCTGCATTTTTTTCTTACTTTGCTGTGTTCTGAAATATGTCAAAAGGTTCATCTTTGCAGTTATTTTAAAAACAATTTGAAAGAAATCATTAGAAAATTTGTGGTATTCTTTAGACACTTCTGTTGTATTTTTTTTATGGAATGGATGATGTTTTATAAATTAAAGACCATTTTATCCAGGCCCTGTGTAAGCTAAAATTTAAAGTAGCTTGAACGAATATCTAGCAGTAGTTCATTAATGTGATTTACTAGAAAACAGATCTCTTGTTGCCAATGGAAACTTTTTTTGGCTCCCTCTCTCCCCCCACCCCTTTATCCTTGCTATTGGGAAGGGTAGGCTCATTATAATGCCTTAAAGGGAAACTTTGAGAATAAGAGGCCTGCAAGCTTATTCTAGCTGAGTAGGGAGAAAACAAAATAGTTGGCTCCTTACTGCAGTAAAATAGCCGTTCTGATAAAGATGCTGAATCTTGTAGCACATCAGTAAAATGTCAAATCTGATAGCCACAGAATTTATCAGAATCCACAGGGCTTTGGAACACCTGAAGTTCCCTCCCATAATATAGTCTTTAGACTAAAAATGGAAAAAAGGGAAATGGAGAAGACTGGTCATCAATTGGTCACATAGCTGAAAAAGAGATGTTTTAATAGCTTATGTGTATACTAGGCCTTGCCCAAAATATTTTGACAGTCTTACAAGTTTATCTGCTAGTCTCATATTTTTCAGAATTCTTTATTTACACTTTTTAATTTCTTAAATAACAGGTCTGCTTTAGGGTGTTTTTTTTATTTTCTCATGCTAGCTGAATAGCTTCTGAGCAAAATTCCTCAAAAAAGCACTCTTGTGAAAAAAATTCAAGCATGGAAAATTTCAGCTTAGAAGGTGAAAATTTTAAAAAAGGGAGTTATAATAGAGAGGTTTGAATATTTAATTGCAGTAATTACTGTCAGATCAGCTATAATTTCACAGCTGTTGGAAATACGAGCCATAAGCAACTCTCCTTATACCACTGAATATCAGAGGAAAAACTGTGATCACCTTATTTTCTATTAATTTCTCTTTTAGTTTATTGGGAATCCTGCTATTCAGAGATGTGGACTAAAAATACTTTCATCTATAGCAGAATGCTCTGGTGCATTAGAAATTTTATCCCAGCAAGGTGCTACAGATACTATACTTCACACGCTACAGATGTATCCAGATGATCAAGGTATATAGGAAGATCTTTTTTACTTACACAAGTTAAGATTCAGGTTTAAGTCTGCAGCATATTTGTGTACTACATATTTGTCTCTCTGAGGATCAATAATTAACTAAGTCAATCTTTTTTTCTAGAAATACAGTGTTTGGGTTTGAGTCTTCTAGGATCTTTGATTACAAGAAAGAGTTTGTGTATCGCTACTATGCACGTGCTGGCAACAGTTTTGGTTTCTACTTTACGGAGGTTTAATGAAGTCACTGAAATACAGATGCACGTATGTGGTATCTATTACTGCAAAGATAAGAATGAATGAAAGAAGTGTGTATATGGGAACAGTTTTATTTTTTTAAAATCACCTGAATTGTAGATCTTTATTTGAAATACCTGTTTTTTTATTTTATTATGATAGCTAGGTAGCAAAGCAGACAAACTCTTAGCAGTATATTGAGGTTGTTATAGTGATGCATGTTTCAGTGATGCAGGTTGTTATAGTAAAGGCATGAATTCAGTCCAGAACTATGCAACTACAAGTTTTAATGTTAATCTAAATCTGCGCCATCTGCAAAACAGAGTAAAAATCCCTTGATAACAATCTGTCAATCAGCCTTCTGATCTGTTACCATTTTATAAAGTGCCCATCATTGTAGTACCTGAGTGTTTTATCAAAGTAAACATGAAAACATCTGTTTTCATGCCCTACCAGCTGCAAAAAGCTTACAGTTACTGTATAGGTGCTTTAACTATAAATGTAGATAGTTGTCTGATAGAAAGCTATTGTGAGAATGATGTATTGAAAGGGTAGGGTGGGTTTCACACATGGTTTTGAACACAGTGATGACAATACTCTTTATTCTATCTGGCAGTGAGTTCTGTAGCTCCTATGACAGTGTTGGTGTAGTGTAGGAGTTGGTGTGGCTCCCATGAAAGTTCTGCCTCTTGCAGATGTGAGGCTTTCCCTGTTTGTCATCAGCTAAATATTTCTAGTAGAGCAAAATTATCGTGTGAGGTCACTTTTTTGTGAGAGTTCCAGTACTTTAGTTTCAGCCCACACTGGAAATATCACAAGTGTGACCTCTCCCTCACAAACTCCCTTTTTTCATTTCAAGCTTAGTTTAATGACTGGCATAGAGACACATGATTCACTCTCAATGAGTTTGAGACAAATGTTCTTATATTTAGTCTGTGTCATCTGTCTCTGGCTTATTGCATCAGATTTTACTTTTGCAATCTGCAGGGTTTTTCTCATTGTTTTTTAAATTCACCCTCAGTATTTTTAACAAACTGGTTTTTTAACATCATAGTGCAACCATGCTAAGACAGGGCATTGTCCCCTTCACTCCTTTGCTTTGTGTGGCAAGTGTTCTGCGCAAATTAATAGGAGGCAGCTGGCAGTTTCTGGACATTGGAATATTATTTTGTATGACCCTTGCACAGTGTATACGGAAAGAAAGGGAGAGGTTTTGTGACTTCCTTCTCCTGTGTGTTCATGCCAGAGTCAGAAATGTTTTGGCTGTATGCCACCATGCACAATATGACTCTGAGAATGCATGTATAGCTCTGTTCATGCTGCGAATTGAATACTTTACTGATGGGATTTGTCTGTTTTGTCTAACTTTAGTTTCTTTGTTGCTGTTCACATCATTTTACTATCTTTGTAGGGTTTTCGCACAGTCTTGACAATACTTGACTTGTCACCTTGTTTTGCTAAGCTGCTGATACATGAATCATTTGACACAGTAATTTTCTATCAGATGTCCATGTTTTTCACTGAACAGAGAAATCAACAGGTATCTTCTCTCTGTTGTTTACAAGTCCATGTCCACTTATTCTAAACCATTCTGAAGTGTGCTACCCTAATTTCTATTATTTTTCCCCCTATTTAGTGTCAAAGCCTGTGTTGTAAATGCTTTGCCAAAATAGCTGACAATGATGATATTAAAAACGTGATGCTGGAGAAAGCATGCGCTGAGTGCAATAGCATTATGGCCGAATGTTTACTTTTACTGGGTGCTGATGCTAATAAGAAGACAAAGACAAACTCTTTAATTTATCAGGTAAGCACATGAATATAGAAGGGATTGCACACTGTTGAAATGTGTTGCTGTTTGGATTCTAAATTGTACGTGGGTATGTGAGCCTGCTTCTAACTATAACAATTGTTTGCTGCAATCCAGCAATTCCCTGAACATCCCTTAATGAAAGCTGAGTTCTGTCACTCTGTGGCTTTGGGCAAAGATCACCGAAATGAACAAAAAGGCAACCATTGATTCCCTTGTTGGGAAGAATTTCAGTACCTAAGGGGTTTGGGTGCCATTGTCACGTACACCTTCCGGAACTCCAGACTGATAGAAATCCCATCACATCTTTTACCATTTCTTCCTTTATACTGTTTTTTCTTTATTTGACTGATAACTACAGTACATTTAATAATGATTTCCTAACACTGAATATAAAACATGCATATCTTGTTATTCACAACTATTTTTTGGCAAATATTTTCACGTATTGTTTTGCAGTGATTCATACATTGAAGCATCAGGGGAAATCTTTCATAAACCGAAGCAGAACAAAGACTTTTCTGTTTCTAAAATGTCTGCATGAGTGTGTGAATTACAAGAGCTTTTTTAAACTTGAAACTGGTTGAGTAAAAGGTGATTGAGATATGTTTAATATCAATAAGAATTTCAAAACACTGCATGTATGGACTGTTTTTTGATGTGTGATTGACTGAAACTCACTAACCCACTGCAGTGTCCACTGAACAGGACCAGTATTTAGAAGGCATGAACTAATATTCAAACTGGAATTTATGGACACATTGTCCCTGTGCACCAGGGAGTTCAGAGAGGAATTATGCCTCTCAGTCAGTGCTCTCCCTGGATTAGTGCTCCTTTCCTCTGGGTTGTGCTTAAAGACGTGGTGCAGCCCTACAGCCTAATCTACACCTGGTTGTTGTGATGGTTTAATTATTTTGATATGGGTTGTAACTGTCAGTATAATGGACGTTGTGATGCATTAACAGGAATTTTAAAAATTGTTTTGAATGTTCAAGCTAAATACCATTCACTGCGGTGACAGTGATAGGGAATGTGGAAGGAGTAAAGCTGACTAAAGCCTTTAAGGCTAAGTACAGACAAAAAACCTGAGGCTGAATCGGTTCAGTCCTCACAGGTTAGTCTAAACTGCGTAGATTGAACTGATAAGTGAATAGACATTCACTTTTGATTCCGGAAATGCAGCCACATGCCTGCAGTGGCCCATGCCACAAGCCAGGGGATGCTAGAGCATGCCTCCCTGCTCAGCTGGTGCAGACATCTTAGACCAAGGTTAGTCTACCCACCCTGCGAGTTGGGGCTTTGCAGGGTGGGGGGGGAAGGGGTGCAAACTAGGGCTGTGCAAAGCTTCAGTCGCCGATTCATTTCGGAGAAGATTCGGCCCAATTCGGGGGCCAAATCTCCACATCTGAATTGAATCGGTTAACACATTAAAAGCTCCAAGTCGATTCAAAGCATCCGAATAGTTTCAGAAAAGATTCAGATTGGCCAGGGAGAGCTGGGCAGCTGCAGGTTCTCCCATGGTTCATCTAGCTGTGCCTGCCTCTCCCCGGGTGGAGGGAGTTGCAGGGGAAGCCCCCGTGGCTGCTCTACCCAGCCCCAGCCTCCCAGCACTTTGAAGGGGAAAAAAAAAGAAAAGAAAAAAAAGCCCCATACTCACTGTTTGCGGCAGTCACCAGGAGCCCAGCAGCGCTCAGCCCCAGTGGCCCCAGCTCCGAGACAGTACGCGGCGCCCTGCTGAGTCGTGCTGCACCCATGCCATGGGGCAGCTGCCGTGCAGGTGCCAAATGATATGGTGGGGGGCGATCCCCACTGCCCCGCACTGCACAGGGGGGCTCTGCCACGAGCACCCAGAGGCCCTGATGGCCACTGCTGCAGCCAGTGAGTGCAAGGCTTTTTTTCTTTTTTAAGTGCCAGGAGGCTGGGGCCGGGCAGGATAGACATTGGGGCTTCCCCTGTTGCTCTCCCTGGCCAATCCAAGTCACGAATCTTTCCAAATGAGCACCGAAACTTTCAAAGCCAATTCAGCTGAATCGAACGGGGATGGTGATTTGATTCAGTGAATTGAATCACTGTTCTCCGAATTGGCTAAATCTGAATCGAATACGTCCCTATTCACACAGGCCTAGTACAAACCATCGTGGGATGCTGCGGGACCGTGAGCTAACTTGAATCTGTAGCAGTTCTGGGACAAGTTCAATAAGCCTATTAAACCTAAACCTAAGCCTGATACTGCATCCCTCCAGGTTTATCTTAAACTGGTTTTGGCCATTTTGAAAGTGGTTTATGTGCACTGAATTTCCGTTGTGTTACAGACTTGAACTGGTTTCTGATCAGTTTATGTAATTTTTTTGTCCCTAGCCTAAGTGCTGTATGCCAGGCTGTTTTCATTGCTATAAATCAGAGGTGTCAGACATATGGCCCACAGGCTGGATCTGGTCTATAGAGTCCAGTCATCTGGCCCACAGACTTTTGCCCCAGCTCTGGCTGTGGTGGCAGCCAAGTACCTGGGTGAGAATTGCAGTGCTGGGGCCCTAGCAACACAGTGGGAACATACCCAGCACTGCATCTTGTTCCCACAGCTGCAGCCAGGCACCCACAATACTGAGCTTGTTCTTGTGGTGCTACTCCAGATCTAGCGCTGTGACTCTCTCTCACTTGGCTGGCAAGCACCTGGGAGACAGCATCAGTACTGGAGCCCTGGCAACACTGTAAGAAATAACCTGGCAATGTGGCTTGTTCCTACGGCGACAGCCAAGCCCCCAGTATGCTAGGCTTCTCCAGCTGGGTTCCCAACCAGCTGGAGCAGGTGCCACATGCTGTGCCCATCCCAGACTGGCCACATACAGCATCACATATGATTTAGTCCCCAACAAGCCAGAAGCGCTGCATGCATAGGATCCAGCATGTAGGGGGAGGGTGTCCATGGGCCCATCCAGCCTGAGGGGCTGGCCATGCATCATTTATCTGGCCCATGGGACCAGATAAATTTAAAACGCTTGATATAAACCACCATTTATATGAATCATGGCAGAAAATTTAAATTACAGATATAAGAGAGTTGTTTTAAATTTTGGAGGTCTGTCATCATACACCTGGGTTAAAGCCATCCAGGAGCCTTGAATAATGGAAATTGGCATTCATATTTCTTAAGTAGGTTTAGAAATCTCCGTTGTGGTGTTTAAGAAATTGTTATTTTATGGTTCATGAGAGGATACCAGGCCAAGAGGTAGCATGAAGTAAAAAACTGCTTCATATGTGCTTTTTTTTATAATAGGTTTGTGAGAAAGGAAGCAATTCTAAATTGGTTGAGCTCTTACTCAATAGTGGTGCTCGAGAGCAAGATGTCCGGAGTGCTTTGACAATCAGCATAAAAAAAGGTGATAGCCAAATCATCAGCTTGCTCTTAAGGAAGCTTAGCCTGGATGTAGCGAATAGCAGTATCTGTCTTGGAGGATATGGCATTGGGAAAATTGAGCCTTCCTGGCTGATTCCTTTGTTCCCGGATAAACCTGCTCCTTTAAGAAAACAAACAAGTAAGTGTTCGTAAAATTTGTAATAACTGTCAAAATTCTAACAGTGCCTAAGCGTATTATAAAAACTTTCAGAAAGATATTTAAAATTGAAGCACAGGTTATTTGGGATCAGATATTTAGCCCTTGTAAATCTGTATAGCCTGTGTTGTTTCTAGGGTGCTCCCTAGTCTTTAAAAATTGAAAAACAAAGCCTTTTTTGGTAGTTTTAAATCTTGGTGAATCCACTGAAAAATGGGTTACCTGTTGGTTTTCTTTTACACTGTTAGATGTAGGTTCTGCATTGGCACGAATGGTACTCATATACCAAATGAAGAGTTTTTCAGAGTACAAATCAAGATCCTGTTCTGATGTGACTTCCTGTGATGATCCACTGGATAAATCTTACGATTGGACCTTCCTTCCTGACCCATTAGTGGACAATGTTTTTCACTTGAGTGATGATCTTGATAGTGAAGGTACATTTACTCTAGCAATTTTGTCTTTCCTATACAATGCTGATCTGCAGTATGGCTTCAAATTCAAAAAAAGCCGTTTAATAACTGTTGGACTAATCAGTAAAAACAAACAAACCATTTTTTCCTTGCAAAAAAATGCTTTCTATGTAAAACATTAGGATATGTATCTACAATTTTGTTTACAGTATATGTGGAAAATAGTTTTTGATAAATAAATATGCATATTCATTTATACAGGTTCAACAAAATAAAACTAAAGGTCTGTATTCACTTTTCCACTCTCAAACCTATTATCAAAACTCAAACCTTGAGCTTTCACACAAGTCCAGGTGTCTCTTGTGAAGAAAATGTACGTTTTATGACTAGAACTCAAATTCTTTCCCAACAGCAAAAAAAAAATATAATATTTGTAAATAGTTTTAAAACAGCATTTCTGCATTTAATGGCAGTAGTATCTTAAAATTAGCTAGATGTTATTTAGTTTGCTGTTTTTACGCAGCCTGGATTTTGAGCTGTTTGTTTGCTGCCCTTACAGCCATGGAGCTAAGCACTGGGCTCTGTGCAGCTCCATGGCTCTGCAGGAAGCCCTGTAGGCAGCCTAGCAGAAGCCCGGGAAAGCAGGTTCCGCCCAAAAAAAGTGGCGAGCCTGATCTTCCCCCCTTCCCCTCCCCAGAGCCTGCCTGCCTGAGCTGCATGGGGGCCTAATGCTTTCTTCCATGGCTGCAGTGCCTCCCGGGACTGCCCAAACCAGGTGCCTGCGGGCAGGTGCCGCCACTGCTGTGGAGGGAAGCACCAGCCCCGCCACCCCTGCAGCTCAGGGACTGCTCTGCCTGCTGGCAGCTCACCCTCCCCTCCCCACCGGAGAGGCAGGTAAGCCAGTGTGGTGTGTGCATGACATGGGGGTTTAATCAGCCCTAAATTGAAGCGGTGTTTTTTTAAAGCCCACTGCTTCAGTTTAGGGCCCCCGTTTCATCTACACACGCCACATATTCCTTTACCAACAGCCGGGGGAATAATGCCAATGCCACTTGTTTCTGCCACCAGCTGCCATCAGTTTTTATCACCAGCGGCAATCAAAAATGATAAATTCATTAGTGGGGGAAAAAGAGGAGGTGGAGGGAGCATGGTGGTGTTTAACAGAAGAACGTAAGAGGAGCCTACAAAAGTGGGCTAGAACTGCCAGAGGGAGGAGAGGGAATTGTAGATTGCCCAGCAGCAGCCATCACAGAGCAAGTGATTCTAAGGACATCTGAAGCCACAAGTCTGAAATTCCCTTCAGGAGCCTATTTGCTGCCTGCATAGCTCAGATCTCCCTTGCTTTGGAAGCATAGGGGGATATTTAAAAAAAAATAAGTTATCACAGCTCTAAATTTATGAAAATTATATCATCATGAGTACAAAAATGCCATAGAAAACTGAAATGTGTGTCTGGTACTTGTTAACTGCACATAGTACCTATATTCTAGGGTATAGTAACGTTCTCAACATACTGCACATTGAATTAGCTAATCTTGTTACTGTTAATTTGCCTGAAATGTACAGCTACAGTGTATATGTCTGTACCTCTGTTATGTGGTTGAAACAAGCTTACATTTTGACAGGTTGTCTTATTTTTTGTTTTCCTATTTTGTAACAGAGAGTGAAAGTTCATTTCATATGAAAAAGAAATCCAATTCCATTGCGGTTGCTGACCTGTACAGAGATACAGCCTTACAAAGATATTCTCCTACTTTGCAAAGACATTCTAACTCTGTGGTAAGCCAGGTTACTATCTACTATATAGCTATCTTAATCCATCGTGTATGTAAACTGATGGAAAACTGTATTGGGAAATGACAGGTTATGACCATAAATGTTCTCCTCTCACTTTCACTATTTAGAAATATCTTATGAAAGTGATTCATAGCTGTACAGTGACTACACACATTCAGATTGCTGCAACTGATAAGATTTTATTTCAGGAAACTTTTATGAACAAATATAAATAAGGTGTTTTGAGAACTGTTTAAACAAGTGCAGAGACAGATTTTTATTTTAGGTTGCCACATAAAAAGAGCGTGTTAATTAATTTATATTTAAAATGTATTACTGTTTTAAATTTTGTGGTACTACAATTTAAGAAACACCAGTAGTAAATTTTCTGTTAGATTTCTAATGTAGAAAATTATCCATTTTTTTGTTGCAGCCTACATGATGTGCAAATCACTGTAGAAAGAAAACTAACTGCATTCACATAGTTTTCAAGATATACAAATTTTCACACCTGTCACTTTTAATTCTATTCTGGAATTTTCCAGGGGCCTGGTTCAGACTATGAACCACACATGAAGCAAAGGAGGACACTACTCTCTTCAGAAGAATCTCTCAGTAAGCCACCAAAATTTTTGTCTGATAGAGTTATCATTTTTAACAGTGCTTGGAGATAGCTACAGTCTGCTGAAGGTTTTAGTTGCATTAAATGCTCTTTTATAAAGATTGCTCCGAATTTAACAAAACATACAAATATTGCATACACAGTGAACTACTTTCTATTGGGCTTTACAATGGATATTTGTAACTTTAAGTGGAATAACATAGTTTCATGCCTTAGAAGCATTTTTAAAAAACATGTTTATTTTGTAGCCAAAAAGTATCTCTCTCCTTTCTCTAAAGGTATTCATTGCTCCTTTAAACAGAAGTTCTGACTGGCTGCTGTTGAGTCAGTATCCTCATAATAATTTACTGTACTGGGTACAGAACTGGAACTCAAGTTCTTTGAATCGTAATTAGAAAATTAAATTGCACTTATTACATTGTTGCATGTTTTCTCAGCAATGATGAATGTCAATCTTCTTGTTTTAATAGAAGGCATATCAAAACTCTCAACATCTGCAAGGCAATCAGATAGTCTTTCTTCACTGAGCTTGGAAAAAGAATGCATTAAGTCACTAGACCTTTCATCAAATGAGCTGGAGAACATTGATGCTATCAGTCAGAATGGCTGCTTAACCAGTCATTTGGAACATCTCGAGAAACTAGAGTTGCACCAAAACACACTATCAAGCATTCCAGAACAACTGTGTGAAGTAATTCTTTGTCATTTTACATAATGCAGGGCAATATTACTTGAAATACTCTATTGTACTTTTTAAATTAAAGATTTAATTTAAATAATCTCATATATATTCATATATATGGGATTCATATAAAATAATAAATGCAATAAGTCATGCGTGCCTAATGTGTACGTACAAATTTTATACAGTAATCAAATGTCAGATTAACCGGTTACTTGTACAAACTTCCTCAGGGAGCCTCCATGGGACATCTTTAGAGGGCCAATTTGGGAAGGATGTTACAGATAGTGGCATGATTTCATTAAATAAATGGGAATGATAACAGATTCTTACATGCTAAAGCTATTTAGAATTGTACTAGTTAGTTTTATTATATCATGCCTGCATATCATATTTTTTCTAATAAAACATAACTAACCATATTATTATAATTAATATTTTCTGTCATTTTACTTGATAGATAAAGAAAATAAACATGAATTAATTGACTAAAATATTAATTCAGTTTAAAGATTATAAATTATTGTTTCTGGGCTGTAATTTTAAAAACAAATTCTCCTTTTCTTTCAGACTTTGAAATGTTTGACTTGCTTGGATTTACACAGTAACCGATTTACATCTTTTCCTACTTACTTACTGAAAATGAATTGTATCGCAAACCTCGATATCTCTCGAAATGACATTGGCCCTTTCATAACTTTGGACCCAAATATCAAATGCCCATCTCTAAAGCAGTTTAATTTATCATATAATCAGCTATCGTCCATTCCTGAATTTCTTGCAGATGTTTTAGAAAAACTGGAACAGCTAATAATGGAAGGGTGAGAATGGCACCAGTTAATTTGATTATTGCTTAACAAACATTCCAGGAAAGAATGGATGTATTTGTCATCTAGAACAGTGGTATCCAACCTTTTTGCCCTGCAGACTGGATGGGCAGTGCGTGGTCCATCTGCAGGCTGGATCCTGTTCACAGGCCAGGCATGAGGGGGCTGGATCTGGCTCATGGGGGGGGAAAAACGTGGCCCAGCCTTTATCCAGTCATGCAGGTGTACTGGGGGGCCAACCTGGGCCCAATCTGGCTGCATCGGGGGAGGGAGCATGGTCAGACCCTGATGCAGGTGTAGAGGGAAACCAACTTGGGCCCAATTTGGCTGGGTGGATTTTAGAAATTAGGCAGTGGGGGACAGGTGGCAGCATTAATTGCCACTGCTCCCCCACTGCCAAATTTCCCAACCTGCAGGGAGCCTTGTAGGCCAAATGCCATGGCTCCATGGGCTGAGGCTTGAGCAACACAATCTAGACTATTAAGCGGTATTGGATTTAAAGGATTTTCTAATCAGCAGCAAAATATGTTCTAGTGTCTAAGTCAGCAGTTCCCAACCCTGGGTCGCAACCAAAATGAGGGTCGCGGGGGCAATGCCGCACACAAAAGACAAGGCGTGCCAGGAGTTCTCCTGCCCCTGGGCCGCCGCCACCACCACCACACTCTGCTCCCAGCAGCGGGTCAGAGAAGAAAAAGGTTGGGAACCACTGATCTAAATGTTTAATTGGTGACAGTTTCTGTTGGGATGACCACTTGCCACATTATGATTTAGCATTAAGTTAGTAGTATTCTGGAGGGGGATGTTTCAAACAAATTAATAAATATATTGTAGTACTCAGTGGGTGTGTCTACACAAAATGTTTACTGTACAGTAACTATCTCAGCATCTACATGTGCACCCCTGTTAGGCCTGGAGCAAACTAATTTACTCCACAGCGGATAAATTTCCTCTGCAGTGGGCACATCTATGTGAAATGCTGCTGTGCAGTAGTTACTGTTCCATGTGTTGTGCGTGAATAAACTGGGAACTTATTGCTCCAGAGTTAATTGCTTCCAGGAGCATGTTCAAATGGCGTGTCCAGAAGCAATAACTCCAGAGCAGTAAGCTCTGCAGCTTATTCATGCAACATAATTTCGCATGTAGACGCACCCAGTTTCTTTCTGCAGTATGGTACATCACCAGGATTGCCTGATTCGTTTAGCTTTTGTTTCCAGTACAAGTTACTTTTTGCTGTTTTAGGAGGAAAGAGTCTCAAATAGAGGTTTTTAAAACTGTGATTCACTAAGTTGGATTAATCAATATGGATTCTTTATAGTCTAGAACAGGGGTGGGCAAAATACTGAGAACCGCATCCGGCCTGCAGTGCGATTTTTGCCTGGCCTATGGCGGGTTCCTCTGCTTGGCCCATGCGTAGGGGCAGCCCAGGCAACGGCATGTGACCAGGCATGGAGCAGGGCTGGTGCAGCTCGGCTGCCGGAGTTTATTTCCCAGCAGCACCGGCGGTAGGATCAGCTTCTTCTGGCTGCTGCTGCTGCTGCTGGACCCAACACCGCTGCCCAAGCACCATGGAGACCAGCCATGAGCCCTGTTCAGACGGCTCCCAGCTAGTCTCCTTGGAGACCCCATAACAAGATCCTGGGGTCTCCATGGACACCAGCTGGGAACCGTGTAGGCAGGGCACTCCATCGGGCAGATTCGATCAGAGTGCCTTGCCCTCACGGCTCCTGGTTGGTCTCCATGGAGAATTTGCCCCAAGATCCTGGGGTCTCCATGGAGACTGACTGGGAGCTGCGTTGACAGGGCACTCCACTGTGTGGATGCAATTGCCACACCCTGCCCATGTAGCTCCTGGCCAGTCTCCATGGAGACCCCACCCCAAGATCTCGTAATCCTTGTGGTATTGGCAATGCCAACCATTCCTTGAATTTTCAAATATCTCTAACCTCTGTTATTCCTGAGGTGGTCTCATTTTATATTTCAGAGATAAATCTTTAAATAAGTACCCAGAGTAACAAGGAATAACAGTCATAAGTTGACAGAGAGTAGATTCAGGCTAGTTATCAGGAAGTACTGCTTCACAGTCAAGGTAGCTAGGATCTGGAACCAACTTCCAAGGGAAGTGGTGCCAGCTTTGACCCTGGGGTCTTTAAAAGGAGGCTAAATAGACACCTTGCCGGGGTTGTTTGACCCCAGCATTCTTTCCTGCCCATGGCAGGGGGCCGGACTTGATTATCTGCTCAGGTCCCTTCCGACCCTACCAACTATGAAACTATGAACTGTTCATGTACTTAACATCAAACACATGTTGTTACAAGGCTGAACCATAGTGAGTAATCAGAAAATAACACCTTAACGTGCATCCTGATGTTTGATTTATATGGTGAACCTAATGGTCTTCATGCCAATCACTCTGGTCTTCATATTGTCACATGTATTGATACAAATGGCATACAAATGTGAATCCCAGTCTTTCAGGCTTTGAGCCAGGTTAGACTCGTGATACTATTTCACCTGCATAAGGGTAGTAGAATCAGGTTCATACTTTTAACTTTCCATTTATTTAGCTTTTTCTATTAGTAGTTTTGTATAAAACCTGTTATTATTCATTTTACTTTTCCTTAGAAACAATATTTCAAGTATATGTTCACCCATATGCCTGAAGGAACTGAAAGTTTTAAACATTTCTAAAAACAATATTTCATCCCTTGCTGAACATTTTATCAAGGACTGTACAAAACTGGAGATATTCAGTGCCAGAATGAATTTACTTGGTAAGTCTCCAAGGATTGCTAATAAAAAGGTAGAGTGAACTATATAGATGCTACATATTACTGTCTAGATAAGAGTAAAGCAAAGAAGATCAGATAACAAAGAAAGCTTGAAATACAGTGTGGTCTGATATAATGTACTAGCTCATTGATGTCCAGGGATAAATGAGTGGTAGTTTTTCTGTTAAGGGAGGGAACCCAATTCTTTCCTCCCACTAATATAACTCCACTGATTTAAATTCATATCAGTTTGGTTTAGATGAGCCAGGCACAGAGTACCCACATAGCTTTATACCAGTACTGTCTTCTGATAAGTAATACATATTGTGATTCAATAGTTTAGCATATTTTACGTAGAAATTTAACTATGCATTTACTTATGAAAAGACACAATAAGTCAAACATCTGATGAATTTAAATTATTGAAAGAATTTCCTTCTTCAGTATCGAAGATATAGAATTTTCTATTTAACACTTCCTTATGATCTAATTTCTTAGTGTTTCAGAAGGTAGCTATTATGCCTACAGTAAACAGGCAGACCTAAATTTTGAAGTAGTCATATCTATATTCATATAGATATATGTAGGTATATATGCAGGTATATCTGTAGGTATCTATATAAAGATATGACTACTTCAGAATTCAGGCTTGCCTATTTACTATAGGCATAACAGCTATACAGATATAGAGCTATAGATATATGTACATAAAGCTATAGATACATGATATATTATTATAGTGATTAAATTATAGGAATATATTGTGTAAGCAGCGCGTCAAAAGGTAAATGAGGTTATAACTAGGGGTCTGCTGTACTCAAGATGGTGGCCAGCCAATTTTGCAGAAAGATCCCAAGGCTGGCAGCCCTTTTTGCAGGTGGAGCAAAGTGGGCCACCCCACGCCTCTGATTGGCCAAGGGGCATGGCGGCCCTGTCCCTCACCCCGATTGGTTGTGGGAGCTGCCCATCATGTGGCCATGCCCCTCACCACCAATTGGTGGAGAGAGACAGAGCCATATGACAGATATCCCTCTCAACCAATAAGCAGTGAGGGGTGGGGGTAGCAGCCATCTTGCTGTGCTGGCAGCCTCTTTTACCCCTTCCCCACCCCCCCCAGTGGGCAGTGTGGCTAGGTGGCAGTGGCCACAAGGACTGCTGGCTCCCCAGAGGCAGCCAGCATTTTATTTACAGTAAGACTTATTTTTCCCAGGGAGCCCACCAAAAATGCAGAGCCTGTGGTTTTTCTCAGAGCCCACCCGATACTGTGGTTTCAGCAAGTATCGTGCAATTGCAATATTTGTATGTCCCTAGTTGCAAGAATATTAAATAACAATATGAAATTAAATATCAGCATGTCTCATAGAAGTAAAAATTTTTGCCAAATTATTTTGCCTTTCACAACTCCTCACATATGGATCTCACTTATCAAATGAAGTCCTAAAAAGTAATCCAGGTCCTGTCTTTGAGCGGTCAGTCAATATTTGGGTGCGCAGTGTAAATATTTGTTTTGTTAAATGCCAGTTCGTGTGGCTGCTTTGCGAACACATGTGCCCGGTTCTAATTTCTGATGTTCAGTCCATCTCTCAATATAGAAAACGGAATCTTTATAAACTAAGTTAAGTACTGCTGAAAGATAATGAAGGAAATCATTTACTTTCTTTCCTATTTTAGATACCATACCTGATTTATCATCTGGCATAACAAGTTTGAATTTATCTCAAAATCATTTTATTGATATTCCGGGTGCAATTCTTCTTCTTCCACAGTAAGTTGTTGTTTCACTTGTTAAAGCTGATGTCATTTCCTGTGTGTAGGAAAGCCTAGTAGAAGAGCTGTTAATAAGCAGGAAATTCAGAATATTTCTACTAAGAGAGTTTCTAGGAAATCATCTTAAAAATACTAAATCTAAGGTCTGATAGGTAGCAACTCTGTCACATTTTCTAAACAAACTGAAAAAAGATTGACTCCTTTCAATTATTGATTTTCAACCTTTTGGACTTGAGGCACCCCTCATTGGACTTGAGGCACCCCTCTGTAACTCCTGTGAATTGAATGAAAAAGAATGAATTTATTAAACAGATTACCTCCTTACAGTGGGGGTAGGCATTGGCCAGAGAGGGACAAGCCTGAGTCTGTGCTTATCTCCTTACATCTTGCTTATTCCCTCACACCTTACAGCATCCTTAAAGGGTCTCACAGCAACCCAGAGTGCCATTGCACCCTGACTGAGAATCAGTGCCTTAGTTCCAAACTATTAATCTATTTTTTTACTAAAGGATACATTTCAGGAAATTTTAAGCTGTACATTTTTGCCACCTAAGCTAGAAACAGGTTGGTTTACCCTCATACCAGCAATCTACAAAAGATATTGGCAGTATGCCTTTAATTAAGTCTAAAGCTTTATCCATTTGTACCACATGGGTGTGTTCAGATGAGCGTGCATGTGCCTCTTGCAGCGTCTCAAACCCCTTTGAGACGCTGCAAGAGCCGTGTGCTGGAACAAAAAAACATTCCAGGGGATCTCCAGGGGTCAAAAAAAGTCTCACTGCTAAACAGCGGGACAAGACACGGTCAAGACCATGCCCCAAGGCAACCAGAGACTTGGGTCCTCCGCAGAGACACTCTGGTAGTCAGCCAGAGTGTGTCTGGCCCTTGCCCTGGTGCTGAAGCATGCTGCCTGCCCGTGCAGGGCAAACAGCAGTGCAGGCTGCAGTGACTAGGACCTGGGCTCTGCCAGGTAAGTAGGGGGCAGAGGGGGCTGGGAGAAGTGAGGAGGGAGCCATGGGGGGATCCCCATCTGGTCCCAGCCCATGCTTACTCCCCCAGTCAGCCCCTGCCCATCCCCATTCCCTGCTCACTCCCCCAACCCCCGATCGCTGTCCCAGCTCTCCGCTGGCTGCTTACCCAGCCTCAGCCTCCCGGCACTCAAAAAAAAAAAAACCAAAAAAAAAAAAAACCCCCCCAAAAGGCCCA